TTTCTTTCTTTCTTTCTTTCTTTCTTTCTTTCTTTCTTTCTTTCTTTAAGTTAGGGTCTAAATAAAAAGGAATCTTCTGACCCAGCTCCAATCACTGTTCATTTACACCGCTCCTGTACATTTCGATGATGGCTGCCTCTTCTCCTTGTTGTGGATGAGAGGGAAGAAGCCCTGAGTCCAGCAGGAGAGTTGCTGCTCTCTGCGATCTGCAGGGCACCCCTTTTTTTTTTCACCACCCCTACAGGATGGTTTTCGTTCATTTCAGAGCCCACTAATAGGGAGAACTTGGCATGGTAGTTCCAAGATCTGCTCCTCACATCTGATAGCACCATGATGTCAACCGGAAGTCCTCTAAAAAACTTTAGTTTTATGGACCTAATGGCTGTGCACTTTTTTGCTTTAAATATGATATATCTCTTCTCCTCCAAAAATTACCAAAAAGCATGCAAAAGAACTAGGTTGTCTTGTCCTAATATGCAACCTTAGGTGACTTAAGAAGGGAAATTGCTGATTTTCCAGATGCGGAAAATATATAAACAGTTTCAGAGATTATGATTTTTAAATTCCTTATCTACTCAAGTATTGTAGAGTATTTTGTATGACAGGGATTGTTAGATGAATATTTTTTGCTTGGAATATTCATTTATATTTAGAAAATATTATCCACTCAGGAGATCTTTCTGGATTACAGTATGTTGAAATCTCAAACTCTTCTCTATTTTATTGCCCCCCAAAAGTGTTTAAGCTGCACAACAGCACTGGGTCTACCTCATAAATGCAATCCATTTTAGAAATAATGTGAACACAGTATTTTCAGGATCCATATGCATATGTTTTGAAGAAGTAATGCAGTGAAGTAGAAAAAAGGTAAATGGATAAAGAAGAGAATAGGTTTATATGTTTGCTTTTAGTTATAATATTAAGTGACCATTGGTAATGGTGTCAGCAGTACTGATTTAACATAATAACAAAAAACTTTTCCCCCCACCCACAGTAGGTAAACCTCATAAATGTAACTACTGTGGACGAAGCTACAAACAGCGCAGTTCTTTGGAGGAACACAAGGAACGCTGTCACAACTACCTTCAAAATGTCACCATAGAGGCCACGGGGCAAGTGATAAGTCATCATGGTGAGTGGAAATGTTGCAGATGTTGCTCTTGCTCCTACTTGCAATATAACAAGAAAGGAACAAATATGTATAATGTTGCATTATAAAATTATAGTTATAGTTTCCTAAATTTATATAATTGTATAAACCCTCAACTTTTACAGAGGAATAGCCTAACATCCTCAGAATGTTTTGGTGGAGGAAGCAAATGGTGATTTTTAATTTTGAGCCATATGCAAACAAACTGGCCACCAGTTCTGTTGTTAACTTGGAGCAGGCAGGGGTCTCCCATGCTTTCTCCCTACCCCCTACACCCACTCCGTTAAGGAAAAAAAAAGAGAATACAAAGAATTTGGCCACAAGTGATTGATCTCCAAGATGGGAAAGTTTCTGCTAGTTAAAAGGATGACTTTGTTAATTTTCTTAACTTGAAAGACTGTAAAATGGCATTAATGAATATTAGCATATGATTTTATTTTAATTAATGGATCATCTTGTACACATAATATTTATGTATCATCAATTGTTAAACATGACAACAGATATTTGTTACAATAGTATGCTTTTTCCCATCAATTCCCACAAATACAGTTTTTTCAAGTTCTTAATAAGATATTGCTATAGCAGATATGGTGGGGACACTATGCTATTCAGATGGAGCATTATAAAGTGCATCAGATTAATGATGTTGGCAGTTATTGAAAAATATTCTGCAGTGAAGCATATGCAGGTCAATTTTTAAAAGCAAATTAAAAATATCATTACAAATATCATTCAATGTAAAATTTTAAACAAGAGATACTCACAACTATGTATTTTCACTGCCTTGTACCGTGATGACGAACCTATGGCATGTGTGCCAGTAGTGGCATGCAGAGCCATCTCTCCGGGCACGCCAGCCATTACCCATTGCTCTTCCAGGTGCGTGTGCTGGCCAGCTGGTCTTCACGTGCACATGCATGTTAGAAACTGGAAGACCAGATGGCCAGCATGCATGCACATGCCAAGAAGGTAACCTTCCAGTTTCCAGCACTCCCAAGTGCGCATGCTAGGGAGCTGCTCTTCCAGTTTCCGGTGCATGCGCACACATGCATGCACACTCCCGTTTCATCACGAAAAGGTTCACCCCCGCTGGCTTAGTATAATGTAATTTAGTAAGCCTTCTGTGGACATTCTCATTAGTCTATCTATATGTAATCCGTTAAAAGAGGAATAGGTAATTCACTTTCCAGAAGGTCATTGTATGACATAGAATTACAATTTTGGGGCTTTTTCTTTCACATTTATAAGGGCGTAGAATGCAAAGGAGGTTTTTAGAGGGCACATTGCTCCTATTCTTATCCTTAATTCTGAAAAACAACAACACCAAACAGAAAATCCATAGAAGAAAACCAGCCATTTTCTTTGGAAATGCAGTTTTGGGAGTTGCAAATAGAGACCAAATACAGCTATTAGCTGCATGTTCCACGCAGTCCATCTGAAGAACAAGTATCTTACCCAGCAGATTTTTTTCCCATCTATATATCCAGTACACTACCGTAAAGCTCAGAGTGATGTATAATCTATATTCCTCTTGTATAAGAGGAAGCAATGAGTTCATCAATGCCATTTTCAAGTCTCAAATATTGCTTGTTGCTTGACACTTTATTCAAACAGGTATTTCCTTTCTTTGGAGCTATAGGGCTCTCCAGGGAAAAAGAGACCTTCTCTCCTTGATTCATACAAGCTTTAAAAAGGTGAAAGACCTTTTCCTAGTATGGGAGAAAACTAGAAGGAACCATTCATGGCCTCTATTTGAACATAACGCTGAATCATTTCAGACCTTTTTTGTGATATATAGTTTGGCAAACTTTGTCAATGTCTTTGTAAATTATAAGGAAAAAGAGAAAGGCAGTACTTTGCCGATTTGGACATCCCGACAAAACTGTACAGTTAACAAAAAGCAAGAAAGGAAGACGAAATCTGCATGCAAGAGGGAATGAAGATTGCAGTTGCTTTTCCAGACTATAGCCTCATTTTTGACCTGAGCCATTGCAGTAAATGTTTTAGCATATCAATCCACTCTCTCTGCCTTTTGATCTTCTTCAGTCATGCAGCAGACTTGGAAGCAGGTGACTGGTTCGCTGCATTGTTAGAAAATCTCTCTCTCTCTCTCTCTCTCTCTCTCTCTCTCTCTCTCTCTC